ATCAACACAGTGGTGAGTCCATACTTGATTTTAACGCAATTCTTAGACGCCTAGCTGAACAGTGCGAGTTTGGAAATGTGTTAAATGATGCACTACGGGATAGGTTAGTGTGTGGCCCTGTGAATGAGAATATTCAATGTCGGTTGCTGTCAGAGAAAAAAAACTGGCATATGAAAAAGCTCTCGAATAATCTGTGGTTTTTGAATCGGCGACAAAGGAGGTAAAGGAGTTACGTACATCACCTGCATAGGCGTAGATCCTGGGGGGATGGGGGATATATCCCCCAATATTTGAAAAGGGGGGATGGTCCATTGTATCATCCACCCCCCCCCCCAATATTTTGACTATGTATGGGATAAATTAATGGAGCTTTACACACTTCAAAAGACTGTCACAGATATAATTTGCACAGTCTTATGCGCTTACAAAGATGAAAATTAGCATAATGTATTAATGTTGATAACAAAATTATTTTATCTGGTACCAATCTAAGCTCTTCTTTCCTTAGATGTTAGATGTGCTTGCAAAGAGAGCCACATTTCACACTGAAGGGTGTGTACGACATCAGTAATGTTATATCAATTCCAAGAATGTTTAAGGTTATATCGGTTGATGAGGAATTTATTGATTAGGCCTATAAAAGCAGAAACAAATTGCAACTGGAAAACCAGTTCAGAAGGGAGTTTGATGTTGGTGCAACTGTTGGTGTTAAAAATAACAGAGGTGGTTTGGTTAGGTACCGTATGTGAAAGGCATTATCCTTTAAACGGTTGGGTCCATTGACATACTTGGTTCGAGTAGGAACCACAATTAGATACTGTCATGTGGATCATTCATTGCCAAATGTGCCTGAACCTAATACACAATTACCGGTCGAACCGAATGAGAACAGACCACCTGTTCCCTTGCGCAGATCCCAGCGAAAATGTGAAGCAGGGATAAATTAAACTTGTAGTGCATGCAGTACTGTAATACTGTACCGTGTTCTAGTAAAAGAATGCGGGGAGAGTGTAGTCCTACTTACTTCGCGTAGTAGTTCCTGTACTACAAAATGTGATGCGTATGCGCGCAGCGAATGTATATCGCGTGCACATGTAATTAGGCACTAACGTGGTGGCCAACGTGTATCCTAGTTCTTGGATCCCGGCTGCCATGAGTAAAGACGTGTGTTATTGTTATTGAGTTGTTGAATAAAAGTTGTTGAACCCACGGCCTGGTTCGGTCTCTTCTTCTGTAGCATTGGATTCACTCAACTACATAGCAGCTGGCAGGGAATTAAATTACAACATCTTGAAACAAAACCATGCAGTCTGCTTTTTTATAATCTACACAATCAAAATGACATTGTAACTTATTGTACGTAGAAAAACATTTCATTCTATAATATTACAAACTGGTTTGTTAAAAGAATACAATAATAGTAAATATATCTTACCGTGAGTTTGCCAAAATAACAGTGTACCGATAAAGATCTGGTAAAAATAGTAATTATAATAAATTCGTTATACAATATCCAAGTTTTATATAATCTTTAATTGATCTATTTTAGATAAAAGCCAATGTAGTTAAGACCACAATTTCTGATTATTTATTCACTAAAATGTCAAGATAAGCATGCTTGTGAATGAAGAATTCCAAACAAATGGCTGCTTCTTAAACATTTGAACACCCGGCCGGTTGAAGAAGCGGTTTGACGCAGTTGGGGTTTCAATCCCTCACTGTGTATTTCGCTCTTGAGCAAGGCACTTTATCTGCATTGCTTTTCTCCATCCAGGAGTAGAAATGGGTACCTGGTGGGACTGGCTGCTCCTGCAGTGCTGAATACCAGCAGCAACACTTTACGTATGTGGACCCAATGACCAGGGAAACGAATTGCCCTAATAAATGCCCATACCAACAGTACCAGTACCGTGTATTATTATACAATTATTAAATACACTTATTAGGCCTACATTAAAAAGTGAAATTACATTTTAAATAATTATAACACATAATCAGTATTACTTTAAAATGAGTCCTCATTATTATTATTAATAAAATTATAATAATATCATGGCTACAAAATTGGTTTCATTTTGTGAAGCCTATAGTACAAAAAAAAAACAAACATATAACAAATCTTACGTTGTACAGTTCCATTTTACAAGATTGAGTTGTGCAGGCCAACACGAATGGTACACGTCTCGACAGTGAGCATTACCCAACTGGTCAGTATCAGGAGGATCCTCATTTTATATCATTCGATGATAAGAATCTAAACATCAGGCAATACAAATGTAGCATAGACATGCAAATACACACTTGATCGTCTCATCAAGAATTTTTACATTGATAATTGAGTGTGTACAGTATTCATGACAATAGGCATAATCGACGTACGAAAGTTTATTAATTCCAAAGGATATTCATAGCCACAAGCTACTGCGATCAATTTTGAATTTATATAGTAACATATTAAAGAAATTTCAGGAATATCAATCTTCTAACACCATGGTATTCGTCAATTAAAACATTCTAAAAAAACTGATATGAAAATACTAAAAATATTAATAGAACATGTAGAACTGTTGATACACCGGGTAAGACTACACTGGCTTACAGCATGTACTACGACGATAAGGGATCCCTAAATCATCGTAAATGCCTTTTTTTTGCATAGATTTAATTGATCCAATATGTTTCCGAGAAAGACCAACATGCAACAAAGGTATACAATATTCGACACAAGGGCGTACATAAGTGCAATATAATTATATTGATCAAGTCATTTAACAGGTACCGGTACCCGAAATTTCTTTAGACGTCGAAACAAGTGGAGTCTTTACTACCCTTTGAAACGATCATGTTAATATCAGCACCCTACTTGGTCATTCTGCACTAGAATACCTAAACTTTTAGCCTCACTTACTTTAAATAAGGGTTAAATAAATGATTACCTAATTAATTACAAGGGTACAGGAGTGACAAATTTATAACAAACAGTGGTACAGTTTAGGGTTAGCGTTGAGTTTGCTTTACTCCAATCGACTAGATCATCAAAAAAGCTCTGCATGTTAGATGTTGTGGTAAACTAGACTAAAGTCATCCACATATTTGAAATGATCCACTTATTGTGTTTGTACATGCATCATTAGACCCTAATAAATGCCGCTAGCCTAATTATGTGCCTTGTGGTTCCACATTTAATATGTTCCTATTCTGAAAATTCACCATTTTATTTAACTCCCTGTCTATGGTCACATAAGAAACCAATTAACTAAGATAGAATTTAAGATCTGGTACATAGTGATATTAATTTGTTTTTAGCAGTATGGCATCAAATAGACTGGTTCCTGATACATGTGTTTGGGGTGATTGCTTGAGTTTATTTTTGATCAATTGAATGCCCTATTTGACGCTAGATTATTCAGTGTCAAAATTGTTTTCAAGCAATAGGGCACAATAATTACATGCCCAAAACTACATGCATGAACAAACCCATAGCTAATAGGTGATTGGAAATACAATTTTGCTTGTTTACAAACTTAAGGACGTCAGCGTCACACACAATTCGAGCACTGCTATTATTGTTATTATTATTATTATTATTATTATTATTATTATTATTATTATTATTATTATTATTATTATTTGTATTATTATTATTATTATTTGTAGTAATTGTTATTGACGGGATGAAATATACAATAACTAGATTTGCTTCAAGAGAATCAATTACAGGTGAAATTTTGCCCTACCTGACGTGGACATGTACTTAATACTCAGTACGTGTAAAAATAATTGCGGAAACACTTCACACGTAAAGTTGGAGAGACAGCCTTGTGAACTCTGTGAGGAAGCAGAGGGGGTTTAAGAACAGTGAAAGAAATGGGTCTATCATCAAACATAGTGGACCGAAAATTGGCAACCCAGAATTATTACGTCTGCTAGCTGCAAGTGAAACAATTTGCAACTGATGTCAAATTTCTTTCAAATTCGTTTTTGAATCATATCGATTCGTTTGTTTGACTTGCCCTGTCCCAGACAAGTGAAAAATACTCGGTGACTGGCCGGACGAAAGATTTGTACATATCCAGAGGTTAGTTCTGCACCTATACCTTGGTCTAATGGTATGATACTCGCTTTCACAACGAGATGACAATAGTTTATACAAATGGAAATGGAACTTCATGTTTAATTGCTATGCTTGATACAACATCACGTTCCTAATCGAGCACTATACAAAAGGGGTTGAAGACAACGATATTTTATAAATATTGGCCTATAATGCGTCTACATCACTATTGTATTGTTTATATTTTACAGTACTGTATACAACTTGCAATCAGCCAATCATGTGCATTCAGTAAATTTGGTGAAGGCCAGAGGACTGGCCGAAAATTTCTTTCGAAAATAAATACAGTGTTCAATACTCTACATGCCTTGTCATAATTATTTGTGCCAATATCACTCAAATGGGTAAAAGAAAGAACAAATCCAGCACAAAAAAGTTAAAGACCGGAGTATAATTATTATAGAATGATAGATAATAACGTTTTATGTTTTATAAAAAGTGTAATATTATTGACATTATTAAAATGTCCTCTACCTGAATGCTATAGAGGGCCCAGAAAAGCACCCAGGTATAAAAAAAAAAAAAATTATATCTGGACGCAAAGGGTAGTGCGATCTCAAAATACTGTAATGGCAAAATCATATCTCAATTCGTATTTTAAATCATGTGGATAAGACAATTTATTGCCATAATGATAGAAAAATAATTATCCAATATTTCTTGTCAATTCTAGAAGTAAATGATTTTAGATGCTTAGTCCTCCATGGTTAAATGAAGTGCAAGAAACACGAATACATATATAACACAATATAAAATAACAATAACAAGTATTAAATGTATACAGTAATCCAATCTGGTTGAGTGAGTGACCCGCTCTGGGCCCTTGGCCTTTTAAGTCTTATGTTTTCCCTTATGTCTAGGATTTTGCAGCAATGGCAACGTCCAAATGGTGAAGGAACAGATATTTAATATCAGTACATTCAATGTCAGGGGACTAAATAATGAAATCAAGCGTAATCAGTTAGCACAAAATATCATCAACTATAACGTCGATGTAGCCTGCTTACAGGAAACAAAAACCGAGAAGCCGATCAACGAGGACATACGCGGGGGACGCTTCATTAACATGGGAGCTGGGATCAGGCATTACGGGAATGGCTTCTTCGTTCACAAGAGATGGGTTAAAAGCATTCACAAATATTGGAAAGTATGTGAAAGGATTTCGGTTTTTCAAATTAAAACAAGAGAAAGGAAGGTAATTTGTATCGTTAATGTTTATGCACCAACTAGCGTTAGAGTTGATAAAGACGGCACGGAACTAGATAGTCTGTATAGATAAGACCTACAAACAATTACACGAACATATAAAAATAAAACATTCCTAATTATTTGCGGCGATTTAAATGCGAAAGTAGGTAAATATCAAGGTAGAGAAAACTGTCTAGGACAGCATTCGAGAGGAATTAGAAATAATACTGGTCAGGTTCTCGTTGATTTTTGTGAGACCAATAACCTTTTCATTACTTATAGTGCATTCAAACATCCCGCTAGACACATTACAACATTCTCACAACAACGGAAACGCAGCGACGGACATTTATATACTATCTATAATCAAATCGACTATATTACTTGTAATCATACAGTGGGACATTGACTTATAGCGATCATAGGATTGTGATTACTAGCTTGTACCTTTCAAATCAAAGAAGAGGAGATTAAACAAAGTTTAAAACAACTAACAATAACAGAGCGGCCGGCGAAGACATGATAGCAGGAGAACTTCTTAAATACGGCACGGACATACTTGCCCCTGTTATTGCGTACATAATGTATTTAGAGAGCATAAACACCAAAATATAAATAATGGAACACTCATTGTACTACATAAACCAGGTAAAGAAAAAGGACCAATTAAAAATTTAAGACCAGTTATATTGTTAAACACAATAAGGAAATGTCTCTCAATAACTATCATGAATAAAATTAGGGACAAAATTCGACAACTACCTACATATCAGCGGATTTCGCAATGGTAGAAGTACTAGTGACGTGTTATTTTCTTACAAATGGTTCATAGCAAAGGCATTTAAATACAAGATGGAAATACATATAACAGGCATCGACTTTTCAAGCGCATTTGATACTATCCACGGAGACAAACTTTTAGAGATTCTAAAGGAAATCATAGACGAAGATGAACACCGCATAGTCAGATTTCTACTTAGCCAGACGGGACTTAACGTATGTATCAAAGGTGCATCAGAGATATTCTCACTAGAATCAAACATCGGAACACCGCGAGGCGATAGTCTAAGCCCCATCCTATGTATAGTGTATCTGGAACACGCACTTAAATATCTTCGATTGGAACGAGAAGTGGACTTTCCAATAGAACTTGCATACGCCGACTACGTGGATTTTGTGTGTTTAGAGAAAAGAAACAACATAGATGAATTTGAACAACACATGTAAAATTTTAATCTTAAAGTCAACAAAGAAAAAACCGAGTACATTATTATAAAAAGAGATGAAAAAGAAGAATGGAGAAAAACCAAAAAAATAGGATCCCTTCTCGGAGATAGCGAAGATATCGCACGCCGTACGCAACTCGCGTCAGTATCATTTAATCCCCTTCATACTATATGGATAAGAAAGGATAAAGTTAAAGAAAAAGTCAGACTAAAGTTATATAATGCCCTAGTTAAACCAATCCTAACGTACAACTCTGCAACATGGGGATTAACTAAAGAGGAAGAACGAAAACTTGATTCATTTCATAGGAAGCATCTTAGAAAAATTGTAGGAATTCGTTACCCACATAAAATCAAAAACACAAAATTATATGATCGGTGCAAGGTGAGACCAATCTCATTAGACATTCTTGAATCTAGATGGAGACTTTTCGGTCACATTCTTAGATTGCAAAGGGAAGTCCCAGCTAAGAAGGCAATAAACTACTATTTCGAGAACTCTAAGCATAAGAAATATAGAGGACGATCACGAACCACACTACCAGTTACTCTATCGAACGACCTGATCACCCTTTACAAACAATTACCATCTGCACTAAAACCCAGGATCAATAATTTAAAAGATGTAGAAACAATACAAAGAATCGCAGAAAGCAGACATGGTTGGAGAAAAGAAATCCTAGACATAAGCAAAGCAGCCGAGGCGGGAAAGTCATCCGACTATCTGGCAAACCGGCAGTAAAGTAAGTAAGTAAGTAGTAATCCAACCAACTGCCAGTTTGGACAAGGATGTAATGTATCACCATTATTGTTTTGAATATACATTTCTGATTTAAAATTATTTTCTTGTTCAATCTTGGAATTTTCTTGGAGGAATCCAGGTTGGTTCCCTGGTTATACCGGAGTGAATGATTGGATATACATCGATGATATTGTTTTGCTTGCAGAATCACTAAGTTAAGTTAATAATTTATATAGTAAACGCTCTTGAAAATTATTATTGTGATATGTGGGATTTGGATGTTAAAACGGGGAAAACTAAGCCATCATTTTTTAGAAGGGGCGCAATAGTGACCAAAGATGAACGATGGACATATAATTATCTTAGTTTTAAAATAAGATCATGGACACTTGATACGAATATTGACCAAGAATAAATAGGTATTTTTAAGATCAAAAGTTTTCTTAAAGTTAATTGACTCATTAACCCTGGTTTGAAAATGTATCTATTTGACTCCATGGTTGTATCTATTCTTCTATACGGCTCAGAAGTATAAGGTTGTGACAATTGTGTTAAATATGAAATACCGTAACACATACAAAATATTGCAACCCTTACGCCACCAATATCACCAGAACATTGGGAAAGCTTTGGCGTCCCCCGCTGCCGCTATGTATAGAAGTGAATGAAAAAGTGGCCTCCTATTGGTTAAGAGTAATAACTATGGAACTAAACCGGCTTCCTTTTAAAAGTTATAATAGGCAATTAGTATAATTATATCATACACTATTGGAAATCATTATGGGAAGATTAGATTAATGCTTTACATTTTTTGAATGCATTTATCTATCCTAAGTATAATAATTTCCACTAGTGTATGAATTATAAGCACTTTACCGATTTCTTTATTAGTCAATCGCTGTCTTTAAAGTTTAGTTTTGCATTGTAATTAAACTGTTGCAGAAGTTATCGGTTGCTAAATTGATTTGAAGTACATTTGTGCGCGTATGTACATTTAGCTGTGCACAAAGATGGTAGTTGCTACTGAGGCTTATCTTCATAAGAATGGACCAGGGGTGGCGCCAGCGGTGGGGGGGGGGGGGGGGGGGTCCCCGTCGGGGAGAGCTGCCCCCCCCCCCCGTCGGGGAGAAAAAGCACAATTCGTCTGGGATAAAAGAAAAATAATATGTATTTTTTACATATTAGTAGACTCTAAAATCGATTAAATATGCTTTTGAAACCCCTTAATTGTCAAAGTTTTCGGGGCTTCGCCCCCAGGACCACTTTCTGAACATTTTATTCGAAGCTCGACCACGCCCACTTTGCTTTCGTCTGGGAAATTTGACCCCTCGTCGGGGCAACGGTCCCCCGTCGGGGACCTCGGCTCCCCCGTCGGGCAAATCCTGGCGTCACCCCTGGAATGGACGTCGCCTTGTTCGAAGCAAGAAATCAAATTGTCTTACCCAGTACCGCTTGTAGGCCTATATATAATAGGCGGGAAATTTACCTATACAGTAATAGAGATCAGTGGTTGTCGATGCAGGGTTTGCACTACAGTTAAAATAGTATGTAATACAGTATTATAAATAAATATTGTATTGTGTTTGAAGAATCTGTTATGAGTTTACTATTCTGATAGGTATTCGTCAAAGAAATACATTTTCATGGAGCCTTTTAGAGAACATAGTAGGCCTAATCACTATTTTGGTCGGTGCAGACAGGTTAAATCGAGTTATACATAATATTAAATTTTAAGTGACTTTCTCCGGGTTCTAATTTACCTTGTTTTACGAATGCAATGTTTTCAAGTACCCACTGAACAAACGACGATGAGCGAGAGTCTGTTCTCTCTTTCTGTTCTCTCTCTCATAGTACATTGTACAAGTTGTTTTGTCCTTTTCACACGAACAAAAAAAAATTCCTAAATCGCCTGTACCAATGAAAAAAAAAGTACACGGTTTGGGATAGGAAATAACATTGAGAGTTCGTGATGACGTTACGATTGACTTATTATATGTTTTTTGTTATGATACACCAACATAAAATGCATAGTATTTCGTTATTGTTACTGTATATTGGCCTACAATTACACAGTTGGTTATAAATGTTTTTTAGCTTACATGTTTTCTAAATCATTTTAACTAATGATATTGTTATCTAATTAATTTTTTTTTTTGGTATATATCAAAATATAAATACAAACGACAGCCAGAAATTTCATAGTTTACTAATTACTAATTACGATGTACTCTAAAAATATTTGAAATAGGCCTACTTGAATTAACTAGTCTAGCATTACTTAATCGGAATATTAAATTAGGAACATAAAAAATAAGGTATCAACCCACAGAAAAACTACATTCGAGAAATGATCCAGTCCTAACGGTATTTGACCATTGGTCGAAATCCAGTTTGCCGAACCCGGTTTGCCGAATTTAGCCCACTTTGCCGAAACCCAGTTTGTCGAATTCTGGTCATCGAAAACATGGAATCCCATTTGGTCGGAGCCCGGTTTGCCGAATTCTGTCGTTTTTGTACTAAATGTAATAACGGCAATTATGTAAGCGTAACCGAATGTATAAATTCAAAACTTAACAACCATAAAAAATTAGATAAAGACCATCAAATTTATGGGAGAACCACACGTGTGTATTGTTGTAGATTAATATTGCAGTGGCGCCTTCAAGCGGAGGGGGCGCCGGCCCGCCCTTCCCCCTAAATTTTTCAAAATTGTAAAACATTGGAGAAAGAAAGAAAATTATTTTCAAATTTTAAGTCTGAAAGTACCATGTCCTGCCATGCTATAATCGTAAATTTTCTTACTTCAGCCCCAACCATGGGGCTGAGGTAGACAGACCCTCCATCTGTCAACGTCTTTTCCTGGGCCCCCACTATTTCAAATTCCTGGAACCGCCACTGTATTGATATATATATATATATATTTTCTTAAGGTATGCATAATATTATCTTAATTGAACATTATATATTTTTAATATAAATAATATTTATATTAAAAATATATAATGTTAATATTAAAAATATATAAAGCATATTATGCTTATCGGACATTTTATCTGATTAATTTGATTTTCTTAAAGAATCATTAAATTATGTCA